GGAGGGAGGGAGGGGAGGGAGAGAGAAGGAGAAAAACACAAAAGAGGAGACGAACTTCTGAGGCTTCTATATCTAATACCAGCACTCCGATTGTCTTCAGAATGTAAGAAGTGGGTTCGGTGGCTGATAGACTGCTGCACCTCCATCTACACTGCAGATGAGTCGGTTCCTCCTACATGTAATGCACCTTTACGACGATCGCTGACTGGCCAGGCCATTTTCCGCTTTTTCGAACCCTCCACTGGCACAGGCCTGGTTTCAGGGGATTTAGGTTGCGACATCGGTCTCAGGACGAATCGAAGGGATCCCTACCCGCAGGCACAGAGTCAGGATCCGCAATAGTTAGCATTGAGTTTGTCACAAAGAGTGAACCTGAACAGTTGATGATCCCTAACCCCATGATCATAAGTTCGGCTCGCCAGTTTCTCTTACCTTATATCCGAAGCCCGAGACCGAATGCTACTTGGGAGATGCCCCTTATCTCAGAGCCACAAGGCGCATCTCTTGTTTCCGAGCCACGGCGACTGCACCAGGAAAGAGCAAGGACAACGTCGACATCACCCTCAGCCCTGGGGCTCAGACCTAGGGGGCTGTTGCGACGCAGGTGAATAAGGTTGATCTTAGTGCAGGCTTGCCCTTTAGGGTTTAGGGTTTAGGGCCCCAAGCCGCATACACTGCAAGTCCGTGCTTGATAAAGGGCCCCCATGCCGCTTTTCCACAGCTCTTAGTGCTCCGCAGACTTCCCCCTCACACACACACACAGTTTCAGCTGGGCACAGGGCTTCTGCAGACTTTGCCTTCTCGTCCGGGTTCAAGCGTTAGGCCGTTCAAAGCTTCAAGTATTCAGACAAAGACTTGTGGATAGGTTGATAGTTAGCCAGCTGGCGAGCTAGCTAGCTAAGCCTACCTAGCTAGGTGGATAGGTAGATATCGACAGATAGGTCGATGGATCCATATATAGATGTGTAGTTGTACGGAATATCCACATGAAGCGGCTCATCATGTTCAGATTCAGAAGTTTCGAGACAGCTGGAGCATCTTGCTGTTCACTTGCTTCCGGGCTGACTGTGGTTTCATGGGCTCATTATGAGGGTGTAAGGCACGATGTGTGTCGATAATGGGCTCGCAAGGAGTGGTTGCAGGCTAGCCCCCAAGGCTGCAGACTCAGAACCCCAAAATTCCTACAAACCCTGAAAGCAAGACTTTTTCGCTCAAGAACCGGAAGCCTGTGAATCGACGTAAGGAGGGCATCCGGTCGCTTCGGCTTTGGATGGGTTGATCAAGCCCGAAGCGCCCAGGCAACAAGGTCAGATGGGGCGTGGGCCCCAGCCCCTTCAACCTGGTCTTGTCTCACGCTGGGGACGACTTTGCAGCGCCCTGGATGCGGTTAGGCAGACTTCCCGGGCCCAGCCGCCTCGTCAAGTAAGTATTTTAAATCGATGGTGTTGGCTTTAGGGCCATTAGGGGTCCCGCTGCCAACAAGGACCCTACGTTTTAAATATTTCTGTTCGGGCCCGGGCCCTGGTTAAGTTGGGACCAGGATGGACTCCTGAAGCCACTTTAAGCCTTTCAACCACGCAATGCCCAGGCCATTGAGATAATACAGGGGCCGGGATATTTCGTAGTGATATCCGCTGATGATCCATATATGGTTGGCTGCTTGTTACAACACACGCCAACAATGCATGTTACGTACAAAGGTCCCTACAGTGTGCTCGCGACATTAGTTCCCCCCCTCCTCACAGCTCCAGCTAGCCAGATGCCAACGAGTTCGGGCTTACAGGGATGGGTTTTAAGGCCAGGGTGAGGGATTTAGGGTTCCAGGTGCTATAGGGCTTAGGATCCAAGGCTTGCTCCCTCTCTCTCGAGCGTTTTGACCCCGCCGGAGCAGGGGTTCACTGAGTAGCGGCTTAAGAAGAGCACTTGCTTCATTTTGCGAATAATTTCGTCCTAATGATCTGATAATTCACTGATAGCAGTAGGGCAATTATCTGATGATTGCCATACTGCTATCTGTGCGAATAACGCCGAATGCAAAATTGAGAACTTCAAACAAGCGTAAACCCCTGTACGACCTCTGCTAGCCGGTTGCCAATTTGCGATATGCTAATGTTTCTTTTGCAGTCTTATAGGCCTAGGTACATATTCACAACTGCAGTTTGGGGGCCTCGACTCGAACTACAAAAATGGCAACCTCAAGACTAAAATTTAAACTCTCTCGCCACCCTGCTCTGCGGGCCTCGTCCCGGCTACGCGGGACGTAGCAAGCCCTAAGCACAAACCCTCGCGCCTTAAACATTAAACTGGGAGGCAACATGGAAACAACAAGAGCATTAAGCTTCTGTGCCTCAAACCAGGTCAGGGAAGAACTCGAAACCCTAGACCTCCAAAAGACAAAAGCCCAGGTCATGGGCATGCACTTCAAGCTGGGACTCTACGAGCACCAATCTGCTGGCGCGCTGGAGGGCGCCATCTCGGCTTTGGCCGCCGGGCCTCGCAGATATTCTCGGTAATATTAATATAATATATATATATATATAGAGAGAGAGAGAGAGAGGGGTCGGAATGATTGCCGGCGGTGGGATCCTTCATTTGCACCAAAAACCGATTCAAAGCTTCTATGGTAAGGCCCCGAGCCTCAAAATCAAGCTGGGTTGTGTTAAGATCAGGGTGCCGTCCTGCCCGATATCGGGCACTTTTAGTCCGCAAGAGGTGTCAAACAAATCAAGGAGGGGCCCACTGGACGTAGCTTGTGGTCCTCAATCTGATGGAAGCTTCATGAAATAGATGACCCTGATAATTAATATATGTACATTTTTGTATACAAACATATGTACACGTTTGTATATATATATATATACCCATATTTTCTGACTTCTTATTAAAGATAGACAGATAGATGGAGAGAATTGGAAAGACATACCCAGGATAACAAGGCAAGATCCTCATGATGAGGACCCGTGTTGTTTTCTGAAACCTGTTTTTGTTTACGAGGAGCCCAAGAGTTGGAGCAGTGCGTTTACCCGGCATCACAAACCCGATTTGTTGGTACCGTTTTGTTTAGAGGGTGTCGTTGGGGGTTGTTGGGGTCCACTATACACTCCGTCCGAAAGCATCAGAGCATGGAGTTCATAGGTGCGTCGTCTCTGCTGTTGAGTGCGTTGCTCTTTAACTTGGCGCTGCAGGTCACTTCACACTGTTATTACCAAATGTCCTGCAGAAGGTCCAGGGAGTCCCATTTTAAGTAGATCCGTTCGCAGTTGTGACAGATTCCCCACCTAACCTGAAACCCTAAAGGAGCCCGGACACTTATCGCCATGCCTGCATTTGCGAGTGTGTGAGTCCAAAGGCACCGGAACATCAACACATGCAGCATTTGAATGCCCACGACCCAGGTACAAAATCCCGAGCTTTGTGCAGGCAAGCGGAGCGGGAAAAGTAGGGTTCGGGTTCTAGGGTTGGGTTCTGGTGGCTTTGGAGTCAATCACGGTTTAGGGTTTGTCTGTCGTCCCTCAGCGTCGGGGTTAAGGGTTTTAGAACTGTTGCTTGACGAGCATGGGCTGTTTTTGGCTGTTTGGCGTATGGTGAGCCTCACTGCTCTGTCTTTGTCCGCCCGAGACGGATTCAACTGCAACAGCTCGACTGAGAACTAACATGCTGCTAGAGACCGTTAGACCCTGAACAGTCCCTTATCCCAAAAGCCCAAAAGGTGGTGTTGATGGCATCGCTGGCATCAACATCATCGCTTACGAGCCAGCCTTCGGCATCATTGGCGACCCGGCCAAGAAGGACCCCACGACGCGACAGCTCCCTGGTGGCAGTAAAGCACTCTGTTAAGCTTCTTGGTTTTTTTCAATGGGTTCATGTGGTCCCAATACGTTGATGCATGGGCATAAAGGGTCTATTGCCTGAATGGAATGCCGAAGGCTTGATGTGGACTGGCATGAATAATGGTTTCTGTGTGGCAGTCCTGTCGGCACGAATGTGCCAGAGTTCATAAGCCAGACGTAGAGCGATCCTAAACCCTAAACCCTAAACCCGATCTAGGTGGCAGGCGAGAGTTTCGATGCTTCTACAAACTGACAAGTGCTCAGGAACCCTTCACCTGCAGAGTCCGCACATATTCACGTCGACATGCGCACCCTAAGCCCCTAAACCCTAAACCCTAAACCCTTTATAAGCCCCTAAACCCTAAGCGCTTAAACCGCGGGGGGGTTTTTCACGAGGTCGGCAGATCACTCGATGGCTTTCATCGTGTCGCGCATCCTGCAGAAGGCCCTGAAGAGTGGCAAGGCCCGCTGATTTCGGCAGGCTTGAAAAGTGACTTCAGTCTCTATATAATATATATATATATATATATATAAATATAGAATATCTATTATATATATATATATATGCATACATATCACCACAAAGGTGTAGCTGGGCTCGGAGCTCCGCCAAATCGTGCCTAATGATGCTGGAGGAGCATGGAGCTGGGGAGTTGCTCCATGCATACGAGCAGAGTCTAAAGTGTCAGGTGAAGTTTAGGGTTTAGGGTTTAGGGCAGGGCAGAGGTGATGGCGCGCTCTGGATCTTATCGTTTGGTCTCATTGACCGCCGTCGACAGGCTTTGGGTAAATACTGCAGACCGAGTTCGAGCGTTGGTACCTCTCTGGAATTCCTGAAACATGGGCTCAGGTGCCTGGAGCAATGGATGATGCCTGGATGGAGCTCATGCAGCCTGTCAGCCTTTAGTCGAGTGTCTTCAGCGAGACCAGGCGAAAAGCTTGTGCAGTCGTTCGCGACCTCAGCCTGACCTTACTTACTCTCGCGCACTCACATGGCATCTGCGTTTTGCTGTCTATGTCGATGCGTCCGGCGACTGTAAAGGGTTACGTGAGTGTGGACATGTTGCCTTTGCAACAGTAGCAACAACGATGGCTTGGGTCGTCGCTCTTCATCTTCATCTTGTGAGTTCTGTGTCTTACCGGAAACACACACACACACACACACACACACACACACACACGCTCACTTATCGTCCGGGGGTGGAGACTGATGCAGCAATGCCCCGCTCCAAACATATATATATATATATATATATATCGCGCATGCAACGTAGACGTAGAGCCCCTGAATCCAAGCAAACCATGGAACGAATCTGTAAAACCCGTCTTCGCGAGCATGATTCGAACTACCACGCATGACCACCAGCTCCTAACCAACGAATTTCGGCGGGGTCATCGTCACAAAGTAAGACAAAGTGAGGTGTAGTGTCCGCCAGAATGATGGGTATCGAAGAACTCCACTAGAGGCCCAGATCCGAAGCATCAAGACAAATCTCACGGAGTCTCCGTAGCTTCATCGTGCATGACCAAGAACATGCGAGAGGAAAGAAAGCGCTTGAAGAGGCCTCGTCGGAAAGGAAGTGTCACAACAGACCTCGTTTGACTTTTTCACTTCCTGGGGGTGACGAACAGTTCGGCCCGTACAAACAGGCAAGAGGCTGCAACGGCTGTGTCGTGATGCCTTCGTATGATCGCCCGTGCATTCGCCCTTGCAACCGCAACAGCGAGTTGCTCGAACATGCGATGGCGGACAACGGAGCCGTCGCCTTTGCAAGCCGATGCAACAAGGAAGCGGCAGCACGAGAGTAGCCCCCGTGCGAAATCCAGGGCAAGGGACTTCTGAAGGGACTTGTGACTAGCCGCATACTCCCCATCAGGGAGTCGATCCAGCCAGGGGGCAGAGCGTTGGACGAACACGTCGGCGGGCCTCCGTGCAGCTTCAGGGTCCGGGGAGTCGGGAGTACACACCTATCACCCCTAAAAATGCAGTTGTCGAGTTATCGCCATTCGCATTAGGTCAGTAGGAATACCTGTAATACCCGAGGAGCATTTGCATGTCCCAATTTCGCTTAGGCTGTCGCCCTACGATTATGGCAAGGATGCCCTTTATGAGAAGGACACCCGGGCGCTGATGGAGAAGATTTCGTGCCTCGGCTAGTAGCCGAGTGGGGTGCTTTTACAACCTCTCGTGGGTGATTATAGTTTTCTTTGCTTATAGCTTATTTCTTTTTGTTGTTGCAGCTTAGTGTGCTTTCCTACAACAATGTGACTAACAGTCCTGCGTTTGCCAAGTCTTGCGATCTGGGCACCGGCCGTCTACCTAAAAGTGACTTCGGAGGGTCCATGGCCACCAAGTTCGGTCGGTTGTCATGCGAGAACATGAGCCCGATCCACATGCAAGCGCGCCCTCTTCTGCAAGGACGCAGTGTAATAGCCCTAAACCCTAGAAAAAAAAACCTAAACCCTGAGCCGAAGCTGCAGGTTCTCGCATGGCGGACCGGAGTACGATGCCAAGTACCCTGATGGCATTCCCACTGCCATTGACATCACTCTCAAGAGTGGAAAGGCGAGGGCCATGGTGATCAGCACGAAGTAGCGCTAAAACCCCCGACCCCCGAAAGCTTTCATGCCTTGCTCGGAAATGCTTGCATGGTCTTGACAGCTATAATATGTTGGCCTGAAAAATGGTAGCAACGCCCCTTGTAGTCCCTGTATGAATATACTGCAACACACCCCAAAGCTTTACATTCCTAATGCGACCCACCGCAGGTCATTTCCAGTGGCATGGCTTCCAGACGGCATTTGAGTGCAAGAGTGCAAAAGTACATTGCGCCTTCAGGCCGGTTTCCTATCTTGTTGTTTGGAGGTTGGAGGCGGGGCATCCTCTGCGATGCCGCTATGCATCCATACATAGAGTTCGCATGTACATACGTAGATACATACAGACAGCTACTTCTCCAGATGTTTACATACATACACACACACACACACGCACACACGAACACACACTGCTTGCAACAATAGCCGACATGAGAGAGCTCCTTTCGGTGCGTCGCAGTCTCTCCGCCTAGGTGATGTATCCCTCAGGGCATGCGCGAAATACCTCTGCAGACTTGAAGAAGATCCTGCAGCACAAGAACCGAATGCTCCCTGGAGTTCGGGTTGACGGTTTATAGGGTTTAGGGTTTAGGGTGGACTGCTCAATCAAGGGTTTATAGGGTTTGGTCTCAGCCTTTGCCATAGCGTGATCCTAACGTTGGGAACATCTGCAATAGCTTCAGGGGATTGAAAGATGTCGGGAATGCTGCTCATACAGTGAGTTTAGGGTTCCAGGGTCGGGGGCTTCAGTCAGGCTTGACTCTCGGATGCATGGGAGGGAGGGAGGGAGGGAGTCTAGGGCCTAGGGTCTTTAGGGTTCGGACATGAGTTGGAGACTTGCATACAATGAATGCCAGCTCTGTTCACGAATCTTCTTGGATCCACTGCACAGGTTGGGTGACATCGTCTTCCCGGAAAGGAGCACCGTAGACAACTTCGTCTCTCGTGCTCTGGCTGATGAGTGCAAAACCAACGGACCCTGAACCAAAGGTGTTGTCTTCTAAGTCGTTGTTCACTTGTTTGTGTGTGGCACTGTCCCTTCGGTTGGTGCAGCCAAGCTCTGGCGCAGGGGTCTTGTGACCAGGGTCGAGTGGCAATGTTGGCAGAGTTGAGTCGTGCAATTGCAGAGGCATGGAAGCTTCTTACAACCCTTCACCAGCCTCTTCAAATGCCAGACGGTGGCCTAAAGCTCAAAACAGGCACGAAACTAAGCCCAACAATGGTAACAAACTCCAAGTACCTGGTTTCCTACTAGCTGTGCCGGACCCTCAACACGTATCCTCCCAGGTCTCGTGACGATGAAGGACCGAACTGCAACAAACCTGGGTTAGGAAAGGAGGCGAACCTAGTTTCGGTGTCTTGGAGCTTGATGAGGGTTCTTGCTGAGATGCCCACTAGAGGGACGGCAGACGTTTTTATTGAGAGGCATACTCTCTAAACTGGAGCCTGTTTATTACGGTATATCGACGCCTGTCGGTACTTAGTCCTCTGTGCTCCGAGGACTTCTGATTCTGAGACCTTGGCTACATGCGTCGTCCTAGCAGTGATGCGTTCAACTGCTGCGAAGCCCTAATCCCAAGAAGTTCTAAATAGTGATGCAGCAGCCCGGGCACAGGATGCTTCTGCAGCCGACGTCGGCTCTCTGTACGACTTCGACTTCAGCGCCATCAAGAAGCATGATTGTACGGCCCCTGGTAGTTTCATGTTTTGTTTTGGAGTGTATACGTTTTGCCCGCGCACGGACTCACAACGCTGATGGGCATATGGTGTTGCTGATACGTGTACGGTTGCATTGACGGCGGTGTCGTGGTCGCCGGCATCATGGTCGTGATGGCGGCGGATGGCGGCGGTAGGGGTGCTTTTGTTTTGGTATTGCTTCATGCTGTCGCTGTCGCTGTTGCTGTTGCTGTTGTTGATGGTGTTGTTGTCGTGGTGCTGGTGGCAGCGGTGGTGGTGGTTAGTGGTGCTGCTGCTCATGATGTTTGGGAGTGGTCATGCTCAGTACCGATGACGATCATGAGTCATGATGATTGGTGTTTGTCAGTCACGGTCATGATGGTGATGTATTCATAAATGGTCATTCTGGTTACGCTGAGGGCGGTTAGGGATGCCGCTGACGCAGCTGCTGATGTTGCTGCTAGCATCTTCGAGGCTCTCACACACAGTATTATTCAAACATCACAGCTTCTGCAGCATACTGGAGAAATCCCCATGTGTTTTGCTTGGAGTCTTGGTCGTTTTTTGGAGCAAGGTCTCGCAGGGGCCGCATTCCTGTTTCTGCTGCCGTTCGCCTGCAGGCATCGATGGTTGAGGCTGGCAATCGCACAGCGTGTGCCGGCCTTTCTTCAATATCGTTTTGTTTGCCTGATACACAGACTTCGTCTTGATTTCTCGATGACTGTTTCGTTAGGCGCAATCGCATGGTGGCATAGTGTCATCCAACAACAGGGTAATGGCTAGTTAGAAACATCTTTGTTCAGCTGCACATCTAGCCTTGTGTTGTCGGCTTCGCTCAATTGGAGCAGGTCTGGCATCGCTAGAGCTTTAGCATCTTGGGAACTTTTGCTTGCGCAAAATATGCCCGCATTGACAGAGGTAGTGCCAGGATCAGAAGGAGTACTGTCGGCTTTGGCAGTCTAGTGGATCCTAAACTAGCTGGGAACTTTTGACAGTCCTCTTAGGATGGGTGACTACAAAGATCAGAGTGAACTGAATGTTTGAGTTTTCATAATATGGCGGTCGGAGCAGCTGGCATTGCCAAAGAATGCAGGGCATATATTTGAAAGCGCATCGGCATTGTTAACCATGGACTCTACACGACGTTTCAATCATAGAAATGAAGATGAAAAAGGACTGGGCTGCCTGGCAGTTTTCCTGGAAGTTGGATGGTGGCATTGTTGAGAGCGCTGGTAAACAGATTAAGTTTAAGGCATCGAGGTGAAATCACAAATGCAGGAGGCTGTTTCACAGGCACAGTTGTATGGTCGGCCTGCGCATTCCTGCTTGCGAGTGGACCTGGCTTTGCACACGGCTTCCTTGATTCTTCGTCTCTTTTCCTTGCGGCCTCGGATGATCCCATATCCTGCTCAAGACCGATGCCTGCTAGAATGGACACTGCAGGGTGCAGCTCTGATCGAGGGACTTTAAGAAGCCTGCACCCTTGGCTTAGTCGGGTTGCACATAGCCTGTGGCTCTCCAAGTAGTCAGATTTCATACAGGGTCGCCTTCGGGTCTTTCAGGTTTCAGGGGTTACGAAGAAGGTTGCAGGGGTGACGAAACGTCTAGTCTAGGCTATATAGGGAAGTTTACTGTTGAGGGGCCGGTCCGGAATTCACCCCGCCGCCATGCTGCTGCGATCCGCGGCAGATACGCTCCACAGACTCACCTTCAGGTCCACAGTCCAGAGACACGGGTCAATTTCCCCAAAAACCGCGCAGGAAGCCAGCAGTCTGTTGTTTAGATTCCTGCGCCCCGGAACCCCGAAATCTCAACTTTCTGAAACCGAAACACTGACAGAGAAGCCAACAACGGAGTTCCTGTGCTACTGATACACAAAGCGGCGGCCGGATAAGCTTTTTATCATCGGCTGCATTGCCTTCAGGTTCAAGAGAGCTCAGGATTTGGGGAAGCTAGGGTTGTCCGGCTTTGTCCTGCAGGGTCTTCCTCCTTTCCCTCCTCGCTCGTGCCCGATCGTGGTTAGTTTTCCTTTTCTCCCACTCATGTTCGATTCGTGTCTGTATGTGTGTATGTGTGTAGCATAATACAACAGTATAAATAGAGAAGACAAGTGAACGAGTGCATGACGAATTATATATACATGCATGCATACACACAATAGACATAGACATAGGCGTCGACATATATATATATATATGCATATATATATATATATATATATGTGTGTGTGTGTGTCTATATATATATATATGTATATGTACATGTGTTTTTCGCTTAAATACACATACATATACATACCTACATACCCACATGCATGCAGACACCAAGCCGCCGTCGTTCCTTGCAGGTTCTGGTGGACCTTCGTCTTCTTTCTTTTGCAGGCATCGTCCCCATCACACATGCCATATGGGAGTTTCTGAAATTAAGGGGCACCTTATTTTGGGGTCCTTATAATAGGGATCCTACTATCTAGGGTCCCTGTGTGAGCCCTTATAAGGGTTTTGGAATATACCCTAAACCGACCCTCTGCACCCTAAATACCCGGGCTTGTGTTTCTGTTATTCCGTGTTGGGCCTGTGGCCTTTGCCCGTAAAGTTGCGTAGCGAGTACGACGCTCTTCTGCCTCGTGCGAGTGTGAGACAGTCGAACAGCTTAGAAATTGAACAAAAAGGGATCTTGAGCCGCAAAGCCCAAAGAGCGTAAACCGTGAACAGGATCAGGGCTTGGCGGGCTGTTTCGAAACAAACCACGCCTTGGTACATTTCTGTCTACCTGCCCCTGGTAATTTGCTTAGAGTTGGTAGCGTAGAGCAACGCTCGTGCTTGGAAGTTGCTTCCGTTGAGTCTGCCCTGCTAAGTGGACTACGATCGCCACTCGGAGTGTGTCGCCCTTGTTTGGAAAGTTGAGTGCGGACCATGCAAGCAGTGGTGCCGTGCCACGGTCACTACGATGATGTTGCTGAGCATGGTCTTGTTGAGGACGGTGGTGACGGCGAGAGGCATGATAGGGCCATGCCCAGCCGGGAGGAAGATGTCAACGATATGACCGGCCATGATAACAAATGTCTGGACAGGCTTCCTTACTGCTGTGACTACCAAAGACTGATACTTTCGCAACTGGATTGGCTACCACTACTAAGATGCTGTTTCTTAGAGTTCCATGTTCTACCCGTACTATCATATACCCCGAATCCCTGTTCGTATTGTTGAGGCCACCCGTATTGCACTGCTAAGTGCCGGATGCAGGCGGCTGAGAGCCTGGGGGATGGCACTGTAGGCGAAGGTGGAGCAGGTGCCGTGCTTCTGACTGGCGTTTGGGAGTTTGTCTTTGGTCTTTTGGGTTTAAGATTAGTTTAAAGCGTTGCTGTTGAGGGTGATCTGGCATCTGGTCTTTTGACACAGTCCGAGGAGGTCCCGTCGCACTGCAGCTTGCGATTCGTTCGGAGATGCATAATATCACACAGGAAAGTTTGAGAACAAGCAGGAGGATAAGGGCATCTAGCTTGTAGGAGTCTCGACTCTCTAACGAAGCGGCGACTTTTCTCAGTTCCCGTAGGCACTGGTTCTCTGCAATGTAGAAGGAGCAAAGATCACAAATCCATCACAAAATCTTTCAACCCTACACCCTGAGCATGTCGGAGTTGTGAGAGCGCAAACCCGAAGAATGCCGAAAACAAAAACCCTAAACCCTCCCTACCCATAGGCCCCATAGTAGTTCCTTTTTGGGACTACCTTATAGGATTCTAAATATGAACCTCAAAAAGGAGCTACTTTGGGGCCTATGGGTAAACTCCAACCCCCAAGCAAGCACCGGACAGGGCAGCCCCAAGACCGGAATCTTCGTGGAGACCCTGTGCGGGACTAGGGTTTCGAGAGGGCGCTGAACAGTTCATCATACTAGTTCTTGGGGGTTCCTTAAGGGAGGTAGGAGGAAGAATAGTACTAGGATATACAGTTCATCATGCTATTTCTTGGGGTTCCTGAAGGGAGGAAGAATAGTACTATAGGATATATCTCAAGCCCCATTCTATATGCAGGCCGCTATGTTAGATTGAGCAGGACCCGACACCACTTGTAACTTGGCAAAGCTCTCGCTACTCCTATCTCGGATACTTGGGCTTGACATGGTTGAAACAATCTGCAGCGCGCGATCACGCAACCCCTTTAAAGATCCCTTGTAGACAGTTTACAGATTTCTGAGGATGCTGGTATCTCATTGCCAGAACCATCTACGGGTCCCGTTGAAGACTTCTGTCGAGCCACGGAACAGAAGTGGAAGGAAGCAGTACACAAGTCCAATTAGTCCGAGCCTTGAGCCAGAGTCGTGCAGTCATAATCCTAGCTATGATGCCCTTTTGCTTTTGTCGTGGAAGCGTCCATCCACCGTAGTGCCGCGATCCCATCGCTTGCAGGACGTGCTCTCTACCGTGGTCGGCGTGCTCCGCCATGTCTCTCAGGCTCGGGAAGGTTCGACTCTAGATATACTTTGCAACCACTTTGATTTCCTCAGGAGCACCACGAGAAGCCACCCCAGCGCGACGTCGGCATTGCGTGTCGCTGGGTTTGGTATTAGGAGACTCATGCACTTTTGGCCGGTCCAAGACAACTTGGAGGTGTCCGTAGCCGTCCAAGACTCCAAGATGTGCAGCAGCCTTCGGCTCCTCCAAGCCGAACAGGGTATACGGTATACTAACAAGAGTATACGTGGCTTTTCGGCTGCAGGTAGCTTCCGTGCCCTGAGGTATGCTGCTTGGTTCCGTGGGATTTGTCATGCTTTTGTTCTACATCGTGCCCCTCGGCTGACGCTGCGAACTTTGGAGGGAAACACGTGGAACAAGTCTTCGGGGCCCGGGATACGATGCGCAGTAGTCTAAAGATCTATGCATGATTTGCGGCTGGACCTGGTCCTTACTTCGTGGTGGCTAGTTGAAAGTTCACACTAAACCCTATATATAAACCCTAACAAGGACACAAAGGACCCTGAGCCCTAAACCCAGATTTCAGACGGACCGAAGCCGTGCCTGCCATGCGCGAGTGTGTGAGTCGAAGCCCGGAGCTTTGAGGAACTGGAAGGACGATGACATCCGCCTCTATGCCTGGACCATCATCAGCACCACTACATGCCTCTTCACGGCCATTCTCTCCTTCTCCGGGATCAAGGCTTGGACAGTGGGAAGGTGCCCTTGAAACCCTGTCCCCAAGGCGGTACGCGAAAAATGGGGCGAACTGGGAAGCCCCGGAACGTACTCACAGGATCCCTTTGAATTCCCCTCTCCAGCTCTTTATCGCTAGAGAGTCTCATTGGGGCTCGATGGACTCGGCTTGTGACGTCGTGATCCTTTGTAAATGCAGTTTCGGCCGTGAGCCAGCAAGGACACACTAGGCCACTAGGCCCTCAACCCCTATATAAACCCAGTACCAAAATCTGAACCCTAAAGCTTTCTTTGACATGGTCAGGTTCTCAGCGACTTGCTCATCCATATCCCGGAAGAGATGAACGGTGTGGCAGCATGCCTCTGTTGGCTCTCGTTTCACAGAAGGGCCTGAAAAACGCAGAGCCGCTTGAAATCCTTAGAAGAAACCCTAACCCCCCAGGTACCGACTATATAGGGTCCTAGGGCTCCTAGGGCCCTGTATAGTTGGTACCTGGCTCCCAAAAAGCATGTAGCTTTTTGGGAGTCTGGGGGCAGGCACCCCTGGTGCAGCCGAAGCAGGGCCCCCCCCTTACACCCTACCATTCCCTGGTCCGAAAGTCCTCACACAAGTCTTCGCATACGTGATACTACAAGAAACCCTATAAGCCCTAGGCCTAAAGCCTAAAAACTATAATATACCATATAGTAAGATGTACTATAACTATATAATAGTATTCATATAATATACTATTCTATAACTACATAACAGTATTAAAAAAATATACTATTCCCAGGAGTGTGTCCGGGCCTACTTGCTCTTCATCCTCGCTTTCTCGACCCTGCAGCTGGCGGAAGCCTCAGCGAAGTCGAAGGTCCGGGGAGCAGACGTTGCTGCGTTGCTGTGTCCCAAACCCTATAAACCCTTTTTGCAACGGCCTTGCCAGATCCCGACCGGACTGTAAACCCTAAACCCCTAAACCTTAAACCCCAAAACCCTAAACCCCTGAACCCTAAACCCTAAACCCTGATGTGTACTAAGGCCGCGAAGTTGATCTCGGGAGCCTATTGCCCCTTGCTGAAATCTTGATCTGGCAGTTTCCGAAAATAAGGGGTACCTTATTTTGTGGGTCCTTATAATAAGGATCCTACCATTTAGGGTACTGTATTAATAAGGTCCCCTATTTTCCGAAACCCCCAAATCTCCGGTTCTGACGCAGACTGGACTTGTTTAGGCGATTGCTGCTGCCCTGTGGACATGAGTGAGGACCCCTGAGGGTGGGGCTGCAAAGGGTTCCGAAGTTGCTCCCGGAGCCGCTGATAGCCCACAGCGATGCTGGTCGGGTAGTAGAGAAGTCTAGTCTTCTGGCAACCCAATACAGAAGTTTAGAATAAGGGTCCCTTTTCGAAAAAGCAGCCTTCCAGGAGGTGTGGGTCGTGGCCGATAGCTTGCGGGCTGACCATGGGGATGAGGTGGAAGAGAAGCAGGTGCTTCGTCCCAGCACTGAGGGAGAATTCAAAGGGCCTTTCTGCTTAGAGCTGTGCGGCTGTCGAGTTTACGTTTCGGTTCGGGAAGCCACCATGATGGTGGGTTATGTGGGGCTTGATCTGCACAAGACGTGTGTTCTTCCATTCGGCATTTTCTACCTGCCGGACTCCAGTGTGCAGTTCTTGCTGGCTTTGAACGTTGGTGGCAGACCCTGTCCTGGCAGGTGCGTACGAAGACAGGGCTGAGGACCCGGCGACGGAACAGTGAGGCTTTGGACAATTTCGGAGCACTTCAATGTAACCTTCGTTTTGGTCATGAAGTCGGATGTTCGCAAATGCTATTAATGTCTACTGGGTCTGAGGTCTCGCTAGGGGATGATTCCTTTGACGTGAGCCGGCTGTCTGGTGCTATACAAAGGTCTGACGCACACACAATTGTTCATCAACCTACATATTATTATATCTATACATAGTTCAGAAAAGAACATGCGCCCCATCGTGCGCCCGGTCTGAGTGGAAGGCAGCCCACAGCCTCCCTGGGTAGAAGGGCTAACACTGTGGGATAGAGTTTGAACGCCGTCACTGCCTGGAACAAGGCCCTGAAAGTTAACACCAAAGGCTCAGAAACCACAGTGTTCAAGCCGAGTTTCTAAAGACCTGTTTCAGAAGTCGGGGAGTCGCTAGCCAGGAGTGTTGCCTGGATTGAGGGCGTCGAAGTCTTCGTGGAGAAGAGGCGGCTCGATGCTGCCGTTTGCAGTGGTTTTAGACATAGGGTTTAGGGCCCTACCAGCCCTAATTGTCCGAAGCTGCTTCGAAAATAGGGGGTACCTTATCGGGGGGGTCCCTATAATAAGGATCCTACTATTTAGGTACTATATTGGGGTCCCCTTTTTTCGGAAACCCCCATTTCATGCCGGTTTGAAGCCCGGTACCTTGGCTGCCTTTGTTGATGATGACTGTTCATGCATGTGCAAGACAGCGGTGGTCAGCACAGCAGGAGGTGAGAGGTGTGAATTGGCTGTAAAGGGAGCGTTTTCATTCAAATCCTTCTCAGGGTTTCACTGCCAGGGCACGGCCCAATCTTGAGATGCATTCGTCACGGTGCTGATACAGAAGCACCACCAATTGCCAGTATGATTCCTTAGGGTCTTTATCATATCTAAGTTAAGTTTAAGCATACTCCATGATACACCAAAACCCTCTTCTAGCCATGAAGGCTTCAGTCATATTCTACTCCGGCGCTTTGAAAAGGAAGCTCAACTTGGAGCGCAGCACGATGAATGTCCGAGCATGGGCACAGCTCCTGGCTCATCTGTGCCCTGGCTCGAGTTTGGGACTGGGACATGGTGGCCATAGCCTTGTCTTCTGAGTTCGGTACATGCAACATCCAAACCTGCAGACCCTTACATACTCTGTAGGGGCCTAAATACTTGCCAATACTGTTTTTGGTGGAATCCTTGTTGCAATGATTATAGAAGAATGGGCCTCAAAACCCTATTGGCCCTATTCTAGTTCTTAAGGCCCCTATATGACCCTAAACCCCAAAAGCCGCTACAAACCCCGAGACATGAGATCTTCGGAGCGAGCCTCGTCTCAGTGGTACCATGGACCCCCGATGAAGGATGAAAGCACCCTCCCGAACACGGCAACCTCAGGCCCAGGGTTGCTTAAGATTGATGTTTGGGTTTAGGGTTTAGGGTTTGCTGATTGGCAGAGTCTGGGTTCAAAGAGGGTTTATGGTTTAGGGTTTAGGGAGGGCCAACCCGGGAAGTAAAACTGATGTCGCTGCCGGCATTGTCATTCACAATGTAGCGAGACGCCACAAAGTCCTCGTCCCGGCCCCCTGCGGAATCGTCATAATCGTTCCGTGTCTTCCTTGATGAATACATGCAGGAGATTCCTTCCATGGCTAGCTGGCATCTTTTTTGCCTGTAACCGCCATCCGTTAACCTTTCACGGACAGCCAAACGGTTGGCTGGGGTTTGGGTGGCGACAGCTTGCAGGTTGGAGTCCGACCGGTAGCCTGCTTTCCGATCAGACCCAATAAAAGTTGAAGCTCTTCGCCACGAGAACCACTGGAAGTACCGGGAGCGAAGCGTGCGAAGCCATGAAAACCAGACGTACCTACACCCTCAAGTGCTTTAGGCAAAACTTGGCAACATTTTGAGACCCTTGAGCCCGGAACCCTAGCAAGAGAGCCCTCCATGCCAAGCCCTGTTACTGATCATGTTCCCTGAATAAGCTACTCTAACCAGTCTGCCACTGAGTAACAATAACCCTACTCAAATGATTGCTGGCCCCTACATTCGCCTTTGTTGCTGCTTCCTTTGTGCCTCTCGCTTCCCACTTCAGGAGTGGCTTTGCCGCGCTGGAAGCCGGCGGAGCGCTACAACACATGGACGCATGGAGTCGCAGAAAGTCATTCAGGATAAGTATTATAGGGTTTAGGACGCGATCGCAACAGCTTATCACACTAGTCACTATAATCCAAGTGCCAGCGCCGTAAGAAGCCGTGAGATCATCCTCGCGCTTCTGCAAGCACTGAGGAGTGGTTCCGGGAGACGCCGTCTCTCGGCTTTAAGGGCGGTTTGGTTTTCTAGAGCCTCTGAAGACAGGAACGGGGACGCTTTCTTGTTCGAGAGGTAGTGGCATCCTGCGTTTGCCTTTGGTACGTCTTTCATACGCAAGTTCCTGTCCATACCGAGAAGGATCCGCATGATAGACACATCCAACTATGTGGGACCGTTCGAACCGCCAGAAGCCAGCATAATACAGATCACGACCCCAATATATCCTTACATCATGAAGTCCCTCTCGTGGCGAGTAATCGTACTGTTTGCTATTGTATTAAAACTGATAGCGTTGCAATGTTTTTTGTGAGTGTGAAAGCACACAGAGCAAGTTGCAGGGCAAGTTGCCTTTTCCATGCACTGCTTGGGCAGAAGGTGTGTGAAACCTATGCTAAAAGGCGTTACAACAGAGTTCCCAAACCAGGAGCCCTAAACCCTAAAACCTAAGACCCTAAACCCTAAACCCTAAACCCCTAAACCCCTAAACCCTAAACCCTTAAAAGGTGTCCTTCAATGAACTGTGCCAGGTTGCGAGCCTTTGTGGCTGTAATCATCAACCAGGCCAGGGTTTGCACAGGGCTTTGGTCTTGAGGGCCTGGGAGCTTATGTATACATATATGTATATAGATCTATAGATCTACTGTATGTATGCATGTATGTATGTATGTATGTATGTAAGTTTATATAT